AAAAAAAAAAAAAAAAAAAAAAAAAAAGTTAAATAAACGTCTTTTAAATAGAATTTTAAAAAACACCATTCTTCAGTTAATCAGGTTTAATTTTCATGGATTTTTCCGGTGTCATGAATTATTCTCTGGTAATCCGTTAGTCTTCCAGGGCAGACAAAGCTTGAATTTCTAATATTCAGCATCAAACAGCAAAACTGTGCACAAACCAGCTCTTCTTTTTTGTGAGTTAGCCAGGCCCTAGTGAGGGAGAGGCCACAGCCTTCTGAGAGATTATGCAGATTGTTTTAGGAGCAGCCTAATCAGAGAGGACTTCAAAATGGCTTTTTGAATTTATGCAAGGAATATATAGACTTGAATGCTCCACTCCCTCTGGCAAACTGCAACTGGCTTTTCTCAACTGTAACTTTTACTACTCTCTCAGCACTCTGGCCAGTTCATAACCATCATGATCACAGCTATTGATATGATTGGCCAAGGTGCAGAAAACGCCCCATTATTTATGTTTAGCTTCTAGCCACCTTCAGTGGAACCACGTTTGGCAATGGCTGTAGCTGGGGAGAGATGTGGTCAAGAACCCACCTTTCCCAGTGCTCTCAAAGCAAGATACTTGCGTGTCATGGGAGAGATTGGGTGAAGGAATAAGACGGGAGAGAGAGTGACAAATATATTGGAGGAGGTGGTGGGGGAAATGATACCAGTGAGATTCTGCTCCAAACTTGGCAAGTTTGGAGCTCTGCTGCCCACCTATAAGTTATTGGTGGACAAAAAACAATCTCTTATGTCTCAAAGCAGAAAACCCATTCTCCTTTCTTCTCTCTCTCTTTCCTAATCTTTCCTGTAACTCAGATAGCTAAAAATTCAGACTTTCTGGAATGAGTCATCTCTGGGTTAAAACCAAGCAAGAAAAGTTGTAGCCCCAAAGAACTATTTTTTTTCAACATTATGAGAGAGAATTGGGTTGTAATTGTATGAGATTCCATATGTAACCTTAACTGTAGGGTTTGCTTCTGTAAATGGAAAAGCTGTATACTATTAATCTGTGTTCAGAGAACTTTATCAAATAAGACACTTGCCAAAAAATTAACCTTTGGCTGTTGTAACAATGCTTCTCCACCTTGCTAGTTTTCCTGAAGAATGTTTCAAAATAAACTGTATTTAAATTGCTTTTGAGTGCGTATTTGGAAGCCTTTGCTAATGTCAGTGTATCTACTCAAGTAGTTATTTTCAATCTATTAGTCCTAAATTGAAAGACACTTAGAAGTCTGAATAATTGCAAAGAGTAGACTTCAGAAGAAAGTGAGCAAGTGGACTCCAGTCTGAATTTTGCAGGTATAACAGAAACAGAAAGAAAGATTTTTTTTTTAATTATGTTAGAAGCATCATCTTTAAATGTGTCTCCTAATTAAGCTTGCCTACAGTTTTACAAATGCAAGCTTTACAATTCTCCTGGCATGAATAGGTATCTTCTGCATGTCAGTTGAAAAGTTGGTGTAATGAGGACTTTAAAAATATGGGCAGGATAGGGTTTTGGAACTTGTTTCCTTTTGAGTTCAACTCTCTTCAGCTGGCTTGTGTTGGTGCTGACCCACTCTGTCATATGATGACAGTTTCTCAGTAGTTGTCGAAATATAGCCATCTCCATAATACAGATTATCAACTCTGCTTCCGTTGAGAGATCTGGCAGGAATTCCCAAAGGTAATCAGGTTTGATCCTGTGGCAACTGCAGATGTGGCAACTCTCCAATACCTATTCTTCTTCTTTTGAGTGCTTGCTCATGTCCATTCCATATTAGGGGTGTGTGCTCACCACATACACCAGTGCCAGAAGCTTTTCCCTTAGCAGTATCCATAGGGGACCGGCTCTGGTCCCCTCCAGAGTGGCGCCCACATGGCAGGGTATAAGGAGCGCCGCTGGCTCCCCTCACCCTCAGTTCCTTCTTTCTGCCAGTGACGGTGCTGGAACATCCACTGCTTTGGCTAGCGTTAACTATTCTCCGTTCTTGCGAACTTTGCAGAACCTGTAATTTAGTTGTATATAGTTAGTAGTTGAATTAGTTACCCTTAGTAGTAGTTCTTAAAGCCTTTCCCAGGCTTTAAGCCCTGCAATTGCTGCCCATGCCCATCAGCAATCCCCATAGCAGCTCTCTTAGGTACTTGGGCGAAAGGCATATAAGCAACAAGTGTTGTACGTGAAAGTCCTTCAAATCCAGGACTAAAAAGGAGCATGACAACTGCCTTGGAGCGCTCCTGATGGAGTCGGCACTCACTCTGGCACCAGAGCAAAGGTCTGACTCGGTACCGAGCATCGGTGTGGAGTGCCCAGCTGGCACTGTCCCTAGGCCGGCACCATTCCCCCTCCATGGCTCTGGCCAAGAAGCCGAAGAAGACTGAGGGGACAATCTCCTATATCCCGCAAGAGAAAGGAGAGGGCTGGGAGCAAGCCAAGAGCTGCGCTGGGCAGCTCAACACCCCTCACTCCTCTCTTCCCCCACCCGCCGGAAGTCAGGCTCCAGCTCAAGGTGAGCAGTGCAGCCCATCCCATACCTTGCCTGCGTCCCTGGATAGCGACACAGACCTCCGTCAGCTTCAGGTGCCATAGATGCCCGAAGCTCTGCAGGCAGCTCAGGAGATCCTGATGCTCCCGGTGCCACTCATACCGGCTCCAGCGGTACCCAGGTCTCAGGGTAAACCTGCCTTGGGACCTCCGCATACATCCCCGCCTCAGCGGCACCGTTCCCCATCGCGAGGGACGTCCCGCCACCGCTTGCCCCCCCCCAAAGTCGTCATACCTTAGAGCCAGAGAGGCTGGTTTAGCAGAACCCTTTTCGGTCCCCGGACTTTGGGCATCAACAGCAGGATTTGAGGCGTACCTCGCCAGTAGCCTGACGCAGAATCACCGAGGCACGTACCCCCCGGCAGGAGCACCTAGACCGACCCCTCGCGTTGCCAAGAGCTCAGGACTGATCGGGGGACCAAAGCCACTGGTCACCAGCATGCTGTCATCAGTCTCCAAGACAGGGATCACTGTATTTGGGAAGAGCCTCCCGGCAACCGAATCATGATAGCTCCCAGTCCCACTCAATTGAAATCAGATTTTTTGAACTAGCTCTACTTTTGGTCTGGTGCTCAGCTACTACAGTTATGGGGAACCAATAAAGACTCTAGATAGCTTTTGCTGTTCACCTCTCTGACGTCATCCCAGTTGCTTTGCTTATCCCTCATCTTTAAGGAGTGTAGAAGAGTGCATCTTGTATGCTGAAAAAGCATCTTCTCAACTAGATATAGAAGTATGGCCATGACACACTGGGTTCCTCAGAACTACTCTCAGGAATTTTGTATTGAAATTGCATCTTATCTAATGAACATTCTGGTCTGGAGAGCTTGGGTCAGTCTTTCTTGATGGATCATTGATGCTGCAAGCACATTTTTGTTCTTTCTCTCATCTCTTGCCACCTTTGTTTTGGTCATTTGCAGGTCTGATGGAAGATAACCTAATGGCCTGAAGAAGTAGTCAGATCTGTAGCTGGATGATACCCTGTAGTTACATATAGTTGAATTGGCTAGGATGTGCCATCTGATCCAGATGCAACTCACCATCATGTCCTGCAGCATGCCTAAAAGCACTCCTGAGCTCCTTTATGCTCATCATACAGCCTTCAAGGCAGTCTGCATCAATTAGGGCCTTGAAGGACCAGAATCAAGGTTGCTGGGCTTAATCTGGTGCAGATTAGTGTCAATTTAGCTCATTTCATTTGACAGTAATGCAACAGATTCACTTATTACTACAAGAACAATAGCTGAACTGCTGCCAAGCTATAAGGACATTTTGGGGCAGAACAACTTTGGCAGCAAGTTCAGACCCCTTCATGCTAGAGACAGGCAGAGCAGCCATATCGTCATCTTTATGGACAAAAGCGTTGCTTAGTTCTGACATCAAGACACACATCTAAATTCAGATAATTTTAGATTCTGTTATGGAATCTATTCCCCTATCTAGGGATGCCCAAATGTTATTCGCTTTCCTTCTGTAAGCTCCAACTTCTGGGTTCCATTTGTTTTAGAGACACCCACGTGTAGCTATTCAGTTTCCATATATTTGAATCTGGAGATGGGTATCTCCTGGAGAAAAGAGAATTACTTGTCTGTAATTCTTGCTCACTGAAGATGGTCAGTTTTGGATTAACAGCCCCCAACCCTGACTCCTCCCCCAAGTTTGGTAGTTCTGTAATTTGTATGCACACATAATTGGCTCCTTCTAAGAGTTACCACTTCTTCTTTCAAAGGAAACCTCATTTGGACTTTTAGGTTCTTTCCCAATACAATAATAAACTGACATTGGATTATAGGTGTTGGGAGTAGGACAGCATAGCAAGTGTTTGAGACATACCTTTTGGATGCCTCAGAGGCTCAAATCTTAAACTATGGGAGTTCCTGACTGGTCTCATGCAGGAAGCGTTGACTCAAAAATGGGAATCGGTAGAGATGGCTGTACTTAAGAGAGCAAGAATTACAGGTAGGTAATCGTCTCTCTCCTTTTCTTTATAGGTTTGGAAGAGCAACATTCTAAGATACTGAAAAATCTGGACTTTTAATTGTATACTTCCTAAAGAAATATAAGGCGTTGAAAATTGTAGCCTCCTTGCAATTTATTTTATGGTATCTGTACCTCTTACTTTTTTCTGTATTTTATATTCAAGAAACACCATGAGCACAGTAAGTATTTTCTTAATGAAGTAAATGCATAACTGATATCTCGTTCTTTATCATTTTTAGACTTGTAGCCACTTGTGCCATTTCAAAACCTAATGTGTGGTCTGAACACCCTGAAGAAAATACAGATTGTAATACAAGTAAATTAAGATGCCATGTAATCCCATATTCTGCCCTGATTAATGTCTCTAGCTATTGTTAGTATTACTCCAAAAAAAAACCTTAACGTTGGGAATAGTCCTGTTTTTGTCCAAACTAACTGAAGTAGTCAGTTTGAATCTAACAGTTGATGTAATCGTGAAATAGCCCTCTTGATCACCAGTGATCGCAGAAAGCACCTTTCCTGCCTGGCCCAACTGGTAAGAAGCATTGTGGTGGTGCCTTTACTTTGGCATTTCCAATTCAGATATTGGAATGAATTTGTACAAAAACATGTATGCTTTAGTCTTTCAGTTAGCAGCAATTAAAAACATTCTATCTCTAAAGATCAGGTCTGTATTAATACTAGCTTTAAAAAACAAATTATTCTTTTTTCTCTTAGACTCAAAGAAAACGTCGTGGAGGAGCCATCAATTCTAGACAAACTCGAAAACGAAACAGACTGGTAGCTTCAGCTACAGAAATGGCTTTAGAAGCAGAGCCAATAGAACTTGAAGAAAGTGGTAAGCTTTAAAAAAAAATTAATAATAATAATGGGGGGAAAAATTGCTTCTGGAGCGTTGGGAGCCCAGTTCACATGCAGAGGCAGATTATGGGTTTTGGGGGGGCTACCCACCCCTTGTCTTCCCACCCCCGCCCACATTCTTGCCTCATACTGTTCAGATGTAATGGTATCAAAGTAAAGCTTCAGAATCCAGTTCTTAAAGAGTGGGAGGGGTGGGAAATGCTCATTGAAGGATAGCCAATACAGAACATTGGTGTCCATCTAACTTCCTAATCCTAAACAGTTTAGAGGATGGGTAGAAATTTGCTGTAGGCTTTAGGCTTACTCTTCAAGATAGAGGCCTTCAGACAACTTGTTTCTCAAAAACGTAGCACAACAGGGTTAGAAATGTAAAGACTTTTTCTTTGTCTTCTGAATGTACCTGTACCTATGACATAGGGAAGGATAGCAGAGAGAAGTCCTGGAGGCCAAATTTAGGCTGCTAGGTAAGAGATTGAATTCCAGGACCTCCATGATAACATTCATAGACTATCAGGGTTGGAAGGGACCTCAGGAGGTCTTCTAGTCCAACCCCCTGCTCAAAGCAGGACCAATCCCCAGACAGATTTTTGCCCCAGATCCCTAAATGGCCCCCTCAAGGATTGAACTCCTAACCCTGGGTTTAGCAGGCCAATGCTCAAACC